AACAAAAACATCCCTCCTTCCTCTTTGTCTTAGTCTGTTTTTGAAGCTATCCCAAATACCTGAAGCTGTTAACTTATTCATTCAACGAGAATTTATTGAGCATCTACTTTGTGCCAGACACTTTTCTAGGTACAGGCACTTCTCATGGCAGTGAACAAATGCCAAGTGAAACAAAATCCCTTTCTTTGTGAAGGCTACGTTCCATTGTGGGGAAGTAATAAAACATAAATGGTGTTAGATAGGGAGGAGAGCTAAGGAGAAAAACAAAGCAGGGAAAGAGGATAGGGTAGAAGGTGATGGGGCTGCCACATCTAAGAGAAGCCTCACAGAGGTAGCATCAAGCCCTTAATGGAGAAAGCTGTGCAGATTATCTGCAGAAAGAGGGTTCTGGGCAAAGGGAGCAGCAGGTGCAATGGCAGGAAGGGTATTGGCATGGACAAGATGGAGCAAGAAGGCTGGCATGGCTGGAGCAAGTGGGCCAGGCAGAGGGACCAGTAGGAGTCATAGAGAGAGAAAAAACTGGAGTTGGGAGAGTGCAGATCACATCTGGCCTCTAAGCTGCTACTCTGCATTCAATAGAAAGTCACTGGAGACCTTGGGGAGAGAGAAATGACACAGTCTGACTTTACATTTAAATGATATCATTCCAGGTGTTGGGTCAAGAATACACTGAAGGGGGCACAGATAAAAATGGAGCAACCAGTTAGAGGCCACAGCAGTAATCCAGCAGAGGTAATAATGGTCTGGGCCAAAGTGGTGTCCGTGGAGGTGATGGGAGATGGTGGACTTCTGCATGTATTTTGAAGGTGGAGCTGACAGACAGGATTGGCTAATGAGTCAAATATGGGGCGAGAATGTAATAAAGGAATCAAGGATGCTAAGGTTTCGGTCTGAGCAGGTGGAAGGCAGGGGACCACTCTCTGTGATGGGCAATTGATGTGGAGGTATGGTTTGGAATTTGGTGTTAGACATCTTAAGCAGCAGGTGCCCGTTAAACATCTGGGTCTGTCAAGCAGGCAGGAGCATATTTCTATAGTGAGTTCAGGTAAAAGATCCAGGCTGGAATACGCACTTGGGAATTACCAGCAGATAGATGGTATTTAAGGTTGTGGGTCACCAAGGGAGAGAGTGTGTACATTGAAAAGAGGTGCAAGCACTGAGTTCTGGAGCTCTCCACTGTTTAGAGGTCAGGAAAATGAGGAGGAACCCGCCATGGAGACAGAGAAGAAACAGCCCAAGATGGAGGAGGAAAACCAGGACAACGTGGTGTTTTGGAGGCAAAGGGAAGAAAGTGTTTCAAGGAAAAGGGAGGTAAGAGTGTCAATTGCTGCCCAATAGGCTAAGCAGAGGAAAACTGAGAACTGAAAAGTGGCGTTAGAATCATATTGTCAGACTCTATGGAAAAAACGTGGGACTGCGGCTGAAAGATCACCATATTTACTAAGACACCTGAATGTATATTTTAATCAATGCCTTTTCATAGTTTGTTTGTAGTGTTTCCTTTTTCTCCTTAGTGGTGTATAAAAGAGTGGTATGTCTCACAGTTAACTGTGTCTCAGATTTGGTGAAATACAGTAAGAGGTTTTTTTTACTTATACATTTGAATTCACCTATTCGTTAAAATTTGACACATCATCAATAAGCCTAATATGTCAAATTCGATACATACATTGCAATGTTAACCACCAATTACTCGTGAAGAACATCAGCAGAATTCCAGAAATTCCTCCTCTTCTGCAAAATCTGCTTATGTAATACCTGACCAGGTTGACTCAAGGACATACATTTTTAGATGTATTTTTTCTATTTGTATTTGAGTCCTATGTGGGGGAAATGCTGATTTGCTTTTCAATATCCGAAACAGCTTAAATTTAAAAGCTGTTAGTTAAAACAGAGAGTGACATATACATTTTAAAAATAAATACCTTAGGTCGGGCACAGTGGTTCACACCTGTAATCCCCGCACTTTGGGAGACCAAGAGATCAGGAGTTTGAGACCAGTCTGGCTAACATGGCAAAACCCTGTCTCTACTAACGATACAAAAATTAGCTGGGCATGGTGGGTCAGATACTCAGGAGGCTGAGGCAGAAGAATCACTTGAACCTGGGAGGCAGAGGTTGCAGTGAGCCGAGATCACGCCACTGCACTCCAGCCTGGGCGACAGAGCAAGACTCTGTCTCAAAAAATAATAAATTAATTAATTAATAGCTTCACCCTAAAGGCTAGAGAACAAAGTCACTAGAGGGCGGGTCTGAGGAGAATAACAGTCTCTGACTCCCAAAGTCAAAGGCCATGCCTCTGGCCACCTTGTGCATAAGATAATGCTTTTTAGGCTACAACCATGAGAGGCTTTTTTCCTGCCAACAGTTTTGTGTGCTTTATAATCCTCAAACACCCTAAGAGGTTAAAGAGAAAGGTGCTGTCTACTGGAAATGGCATTCCTGGACTCAGAGGTGGAAAAGGCAGTGGGATGGGGGTGGGGGTGAGAACAGTCCAACCCCGCCGCTGGAACATGACTGCGGCCGTCAGCCCGGAGCTGGAACACTAGGACACAGCAGCCTCTTAAAGGGAATAACCTGCTCCTTTCAGCCTGGCTTCCTGCTGTTTACACTTCAAGCCTACTTCCCATAGGAAATTCGGGCTGACAGACAGGATGACTGTCTGGAATTTTTAGTCAAAAAGTCTACCTGGCAAAGGAGGGAAAGCTTCTTTGGTTGCAGCAACTGCTGCTGCTGTTGCCACTGCTGTCTGGTGCTGACAAAAATATCAAGTTCAACAGAAGTGAGTTCAGATTAGAAGGACTCCATTACCTCTGACTTGAAGCAGCCTCTATTTCTTAAAACAGCTTTGTAGAGCCTTCAGCCATTAGGTGTCTGGCTTTAGAATTTTTCTATTTCAAGCGATTTATGAACAGGTAGGAAATCTGAGTGATTTCTACAGAGGAAAATTTACTGCTGATGACAATTTTGTAGGCGTTTTATTTCAGAACAAGCTGGGCTTTGCTAAGGTAAATAATTTTTTTCTTGATTGAGCAGTTTTGGTTTTTTTTGTTTTGTTTTGTTTTTTAAATCAACCACAAAAGGTTAGACCTCTCTAGTACCAAGTAATTTATGGGAAAATCCAGATTCTGATCATTAAGGGACAGTGTCTAGCGTCAGATCAGTGCCTGACTTTAAAACCTGGCACTGCTACTTCCTAGCTATGTGACCTCGGGGAAGTTACTCTTCAAACCTCAGTTTCCCCATCTGTAAAATAGGAATAGTAGTGGCCTTCCTTATAGGGTTATGAAAATGGAGTTGATATTTATAAAAACTTAGAACAGGACATGGCACTCAGGAAGCATATCAATCTTTGTTAAAGAAAAGTAGAATGTGAAAACAATGTAGCAGAAGGAGCCTTTCCTATAAAGGTTAAAAATGTATATCACAGTAATCACATTTTATGTCATCTTTGCATTCCAAATCACCTCCTGATCTTGCCTATGCTGGTAGTAACAAACACCCCATAACTTCATTTTAAGCAAAACCAAAGTGGCAAAGTGCTAACATATCATCCCTAATACACTTGATTTGTTCATTTTCAAACACTGCATATGGTGGTTTTAATGATTCAGATAAAAGTTTTCTTAAGCTATTCCTGATACTTGATTGAAGAGTTTATTAATATTGTTCAAGTATATCCACAGCACAGCTTACAGTTGATCAACTTCTGTCACCTAACCACTGAAACCTCTAGGAAATCTTTGTATAAGAAACATGCAGTTCCACTCCTACAATTGCACTCCATTGCAAATGTACTCCCACTATTGGACTGGCCCTTACTACTTACCCTAGAAAGAGGGAGAAGTCTGCAGAATTCTGAGTCTGGGAGATGGGTTTTGTTCACAACCCCCAATAAAGACAAATTCTCCCACATTTGGCCAATCCTAAAAGAGGAATCACACTTGGGGAAGGAAGGAAACATTTTTTTCTAAGCCTGTGGTTGGGATTCATAGGAACTTAGAACTCTGAACTGGGCTGTTATTGATTAAACCATTTTTGCTGGTTTGCTAGGGAAAGAGGGATGTTATGATTTGCTTTGCTTGAGTAGTACATTGTGGATAAGGGATAGAATGGAAGAAATAAAAAATGTTATCACCAGAAACTCAAGTCCTAAAATATAACTTAATTCAATATATAAATAAATACGCTAAGCAAATTATGTCTTGGTTGTTAAGCAGCGTTATTTCCCCAAAGAACAGTCTTTACATTCAAATTGAGACATCAAAGTTATGCTAATAAGAGGTTCGACCACCAAGCCAGCTGGTCTGTACTTTAACTTAGTATTTGAATTTCAATCCTAAAATACAGAAGGGGTTGGTTGTAGGTTGTTTCCAACTGCAAGTTTCAGTTTTTGCATCTCCGAAGAGAAGGATTTTAAGATGAAAAGAGACATTCCAAATAATTCGAATCCAAGACCTTTATCATTAAGGTGAGCAAAATCAGGCCCACGGGGTCCTTCCCTCTGCACAGCTTCCCTCCCGAGCCAATGCTGCCCCACTCCACACATCTCGCAATGAGCAGGTTTGCTTTTTCACTGGTACACAGAATATTCCGTTCTATCGCCTCCCAAGGCTGCACCCATCAACTTAGCAGGTGCCACCCATCCTACAGGAGCAGACCCATGTGAGTAAATTTCCTTCCTTCCAGCCTCTAATATTGTTAGTCAGACTACCCATGCCACAGTCTGATTTTCTTTTTTCTTTTTTTTTTTTTTGTTGAGATGAAGTCTCATTCTGTCACCCAGGCTGGAGTGCAGTAGTGAGATCTCGGCTCACTGTAACCTCCACCTCCCAGGTTCCAGTGGTTCTCCTGCCTCAGCCTCCTGAGTAGCTGGGACCAGAGGCACGCACCATCACGTCCAGCTAATTTTTGTATTTTTTAGTAGAGATGGGGTTTCACCACGTTGGCCAGGCTGTTCTCGAACTCCTGACCTCAAGTGATCAGGCCTCAGCCTCCCAAAGTGCTGGGATTTTAGGCGTGAGTCACCACACCTGGCCTCACACTCTGATTTTCTTTTCCACTCTTCTTGTACTGGTCAATCTTTAAGTCATTTTATAGTCAAAGTTCCTAGTGCAGTTGTTGCCTCTGCAACCACTTCTTCTGGCCTATGTGACTCATTATAAATTTTGACCCTAGACAGATTTCTACTTGGGTTGAAAATCAGATACAATGTCCCTCCGCCTGACCTCAGCTCTCCATGAATGCTTCAGTATGGCTCATCTCCCTGACCTTGTGGGGAAGAAAAAGGGGCAACCAACCTGGCAATTTTATCAATGTTACATATTATATCAATCAATCTGCATAGACATCCCATGAGATAGGAGTCACGTCCACATTACAGGTGAGACACAGGCTTGGTACCATGGCATAGACAGGACTGATATTCAAAACCCAAGTATATCTGACGCATGAGCCCTCACCTTTCACTGCACTATGCTGCCTCCCAGGGTGAAGTAAACAATTATCAACCCCATCTTTCTGAATCTTGGTTGCTTCTTTGAATATAAATCTCTTGAATATGTCTCTCCATCAACCCCCACTCCTCATCATGGGGTCCTAGAAAGGGAAACAAGTAGAAATTGAGGAGAAATATGTTGCAACAGTGTATTTGTGATGGTCTAGGTTTCAAGCGTCTGTCCACACCTCCACTCCTCCTTCACCAAAGGATGGAAGGGTAAGAGTGAGATGCAGTGTATGCACTAGTTCCCAGCTCCGGATCCAAAGCCATATGCCTGAGAGCCAGTCCCGGCTCACCACTGACTCGTGGTGTGGCCTTAGTCAACTTACTTTATCTTCCTGTGCCACTGCTCCTCATGTGTAAAACTGGCATGATCCTGACATCATAAGATTATTCTGAGAATTCAACAAGAAAATATATATAAATCCCACAGAACAGTGCCTGGCACATCACAAGCTTTCAGCAAACAGGAAGTATTATTCTCTCCCTTCCCTCACCAATAATAAGGCTCTCCTAGAGGAACTTTCTTATAGATTTATCCTGGACGAGAACATTTTCAAGTAAAACTGAGTTAAAGTCAGAGAATGTCAAAAGCAGCCAGAAAGGTGCTCAAGTCTCTAAGAGGGTTCAAGGAAAGGAGACATGAAGAAGAATACCTTTGTCTCTTCAAGAGAAAGGTGGGAAGGTTTCATGCATGTTAAAAGAGTTTAAGAATTCCTTTAAGTTGCTTTCACCTGGAGCCAAGATCGCCTAATTTATCTCACAGCCACCAGTTCTTTCACCTCCCGCAGCCTGAAATCATTCAGGTAAAAGATGCTCATCAAAGGTAGACACATACCACTTCCCCTTCTGGCTTGATTATCATCTGGGGACCATTACCAGTGTCACCCAGGTTATCCAGGGGGAGATAGCAGGTCAGGCTCTGAGACACGCCTTCCATCCCTGCCTCCTCATCCACCCTATGCCCCTGATAAGGGCCAAAGGGCTATGTTCCTTCATTCCTTTGCTTCCCTAACCTCAGTCTCCAGTATCCTCATTTATCTTCTAGGTTTTTGCATCGCCTGTGTGTTTTCTCATTCAAAAAACTTGAGTAATTGTTTACAAACCAGAATGTCCTCTTCACTGAGCAGAAGAACCCTGCAGTCCTTTGACCAGGAAAGCAACACGTCAAATATAAAGAGCGCTATCTCGGGAATTAGAGAGCCAGGCCTTGGCTTCCCTCTAACCCTACTGGCCATGTGACTTCGGGCAAGTCACCCTTCCTTCCTGTGCCTCAGCTTCATCCTCAGTATAATGAGAGGACTGGACTAAGTGAATCTCTTCTAACCCTGACTTACATACACACACACACACACAGACACACACACACACACACACACACACATATTCCCCATGATCTTCATTGCTCTCCAACTTGTAAATTTTCCAAAAAAATAAAATGAAAACAAGCACTATGTTACTAAAGCCTAGTAAGCCCTAGTCCTGGAACAGTGCCTTGAACATGGTGTTCAAATATATATAATTAAATAAAAACATCACAAGCAGTCGAATAACAAGTCTTTTTAAAGATTATTTTCTAGTTTTTCCTTTGCCTTGAGATCCCTTAAGAGTGAACCTGGTTACAAACTTATCCCAAACTTCCCTCCATCATTTCAGAGTAGGATAGCATGTTTACTTCATATAATGTATTTCCCTGCTTTAGCCAAATTCCAACTAATTCAGAATTGGGCAGACTGACCATTTAGCTTCTATTTAGGCAAATAATGCAACCTATAGATAACAATAACTCTCAACCAAGAGATAATACACCAAAAAGCAGAACAAATGGGGAGAAATATCATCTAAGACAGCAAATAATTCCTCTCTAATTTAATATCTCTCATTTTTCCAGGAAGAAATTTGGCTGTCATAGCTAAAAATATACCCTGTGGACAAGAGGTCTGCCTGGGCCCCTGGAAAGCCACCTTCCCAGCAGAGCACTTAGCCTGTAACCTGCATGTGAAACCAGACGTGGACATTGCCTTTCTAGAAGTGAAATAAATTATTTCTATAACCCCAGCCTCCACCCATATATGAGTGACGGTTTTCTCCATTTGCAAGAATCACTTTTATGTTATCTTGTAAAATTTAAGCACGTAGTCCCAACAAATTACAAAGATTCACTGATCTGTGGTAAACATGTAATTTAAGGAAGTTTTTACTGGGGAGAGTCATGTTCACACTAATAAGCCATGATCAGAAATACTAAAGTTAAGAAGGATTTCCAGTATAGCCAAAACCTGCACCTATTTATTAATACTTAAGAGACTGGGAGGGTTTTACTTCCAGGACATGTGTATCCCAGAAGCTGGCTACTCTCTACAGGTGGATATGACCTGTTGACCTCTTACCAGCCCATACAAGAATTGAGCAACTTTTCCAAAGCAAGTAAAGCATTTACTAGGTATGTAAATACCTCGTGACCCACCTTGTGACCAATGCAAGGTTGTTCTCAGGAGTTCTGTTTATGGCTGGGGCTCCTTGGCTCATATGAAACCAAAGTGTCCCTCATCATAAATATTCAGAGATGGATGAAACCTTTGGATAGGACTTTTCCATTCCTTTACAATCAGGCTGCATGCTAGAATATTATAATTTTTGGTTACACACTTGAAGGGAATGAAAGACTCAAGACATTACTAGTTCTATAATAACTGCTCAATTTCAATCACTACAAAAATATCTCACATTCGGAAGTAGGATCAAGATGGCCGAATAGGAACAGCTCTGGTCTGCAGTTCCCAGTGTGATCGATGCAGAAGATGGGTGATCTCTACATTTCCAACTGAGGTACCTGGTTCATCTCACAGGAACTGGTTGGACAGTGGGTGCAGCCCATGGAGGGCAAGCTGAAGCAGGGCGGGGCGTTGCCTCGCCTGGGAAGCACAAGGGGTCAGGGGATTTCCCTTTCCTAACCAACGGAAGGCCCTGACAGACAACCGGGAAAAACGGGACACTTCTGCCCAAATACTGCACTTTTCCCAAGGTCTTAGCAACTGGCAGACGAGATTCTCTCCCGTGCCTGGCTCAGCGGGTGCCACACCCACAGAGCTTTGCTCACTGCTACTGCAGCAATCTAAGATCGAACTGCGAGGTGGCAGCCTGGCTGGGGGAGGGACATCTGCCATTGCTGAGGCTTGAGTAGGTAAACAAAGCAGCCAGTAAGCTCGAACTGGGCAGACCCCACCACAGCTCAAAAAGCCTGCTTCCTCTAGACTCCACCTCTGTGGGCAGGGCATAGCTGAACAAAAGGCCACAGACAACTTCTACAGACTTAAACGTCCCTGTCTGACAGCTCTGAAGAGAGAAGTGGTTCTCCTACATGGCATATGAGCTCTGAGAAGGGACAGACTGCCTTCTCAAGAGGGTCCTTGATCCCCATGTAGCCTAACTGGGAGTTACCTCCCAGTAGGGGCCAACAGACACCTCATAAAGGCAGCTGCCCCCTAGGATGACGCTTCCAGAGGAAGGATCAGGCAGCAATATTTGCTGTTCTGCAATATTTGCTGTTCTGCAACTTGCACTGGTGATACCCAGGCAAACAGGGTCTGGAGTGAACCTCCAGCAAACTCCAACAGACCTGCAGCTGAGGGACCTGACTGTTAGAAGGAAAACTAACAAACAGAAATGAATACCAACAAAAGGTCGTTTGCACCAAAACCCCATCTGTTGGTCACCAACATCAAAGGCAAAAGGTAGATAAAACCACAAAGATGGGGAGAAACGAGAGCAGAAAAGCTGAAAATTATAAAAATCAGAGCACCTCTTCTCCTCCAAAGGAGGACCTTGTGACCTAATTTAAATAGAAATTTTCACTAACCTGCCCTCACACTCTCATAAACCTGGGGGAAAGCGCTTTCATGTTGCAGTGAGCACACAATCCTTCTGTGGCTTCAGGTTGGCATTGAGCGTGGTCTCTTCCCTCTGACTAGCAGCGCGGTGTTCTCCACCCTACAGCACATTGCAGGACCCCTCAGGCCAATGTTTTTCCTGATAGAAACCAGCAAGACAGTAGGCACACTCAGGTAAGGCACAAATAAACTGTCACACTGATCAAAATCTGGTGGCCCTTCTGTGATGGGTTCAAGTCTCCTGATTTTGCAAAGAAAGACGAGATGAAAAGAGAGGAAGTGCCTTGCCTGAGATCATCCAGCCTTTTAGTAGCAGAAAGATCTGAACCTCAGCTTTCCCAGACCCCCTCCTCTCTTCTCTATGGCTCCAGTTTGGCAAAGAGATGAATTGTAGTAGGTACATGGCATGTACACCTGTGAGGTGGACCCATACATAAGATGGAGCTCTCCCGGTGAAAGCTGACATCTGTTAGGAGATGGAGGAAGCATAGAACAATTTTTAAAGGAAAATACGAGGACAGTTGCCACCTTTTCCTTGCTCCCACTCATAGCTGATGGTTCTCCTTTGTTACTTAACCCTTCAGCAGACTTAGAAACAGTTACTGCTAAAGGAAAAACTGAGCTCGAACTGTTGAAATTTGAGAAAGTCTCCAAGAATCAGACTGTTTATCCAAGCTGTGCAAGCCAGCAGAAGGTGAAAAAGAAGCTGCTAAAAGATGACCAGTCTATGGTGTAGACCAGATGCTGGTACACGACAGCCTGCAGGACAAACCACCTGTTCTTGCAAATAAAGCTTTGCTGGAACACAGCCACACCCATCATTTACATGGTGTCTCTGGCCACTTCAGACTACTGACTTTCAAACAGAGTGGAGTAGTTGCAACCTATAATCCTAAAAATCTCTTAGATTCTCTTAAAATACTTCGTAACTTGCTGACCCATGGTATAGATAGCTTAGGGAAAATATTGTTTTGGACAGCATATATTTACATCCAAGTCTAAAGTCACTGAAGGTTAATCCATTTCCACACTAGTTAAACATAAGCACCCAAGCATTTACAAAGCTGCCTTGGCCTTTGAATTAGCAGGGTTCTCTCTCTTGGCATCATCCTGCTCTCCAGTGTTCATTGGCTGATGTGTTTCACTTTGAAATAAGCAAATCAGATAAGGGATGTAAGCAATCTTTTCCTAGTCAGTTTTTGCGTATATTAAAGCAGTGCTGTTATAGAAGTCTCCTTTAGCTCTGAAAAATAATTCTTATCATCTATGGCAATTTAGTATAAAGAACCCACCTGAAGGTCTCTATGTTTAAATCCCTAACACCAACATCAGTATAAGTCAACAAGAAAAAAACCAATGCAATGTCTTTAAAACAATCCGGTCTTAAAAAGTATATGTAGATTAGTTAATTTATGGGTGCTGTACACCAGTGCTATCCAAGAGAACTTTATATGATGATGGCAGTGTTCTCTATCTGTCCTATCCAATATGGTAACCACAAGCTATGTCTGGCTACTGAGTACTTAAGATGTGGCTGGTGCAACTGAGGAGCTGAATTTTTAACTTTAGTTAATTTTAGTTTTAAATTAAATAGCTCATGACGCTAGTGGTTACCATATGTGCCAGCTCAGCTCTGGACCACCCCTCCTCAAGCCCTATTCCAGGCATAGGGAAACACACAGTAAGACCCAACGTCTTCTCTCTAAGAACTTAGAAGCTATGTGGGGAGACAAACCACATAGCCACAAAGAGTTAAACAGTGACAGATGGCGAGAGCTAAAGGAATGAAGAAATTGCATCTTAGAATCCAGTTCTACAGGGTAAGACCTTTGCCCTTTTGCTGTAGTGGGTACAAAACAATCTGCTTGAGAAACAGTGCCTGCCCCGACTGATTTCATAATCCCTGTTGCAGCTGATTTAAAGGAGATGCTGCCTATCTACAGCATGTGCCTCATGTAACTACGTGGAGAGGGATCACTGTCTCTAACAAATGCTTACTGCAGTGTCTCCTCAAGGCAGAGCACTGAAGAATGTGCTAATCAGGAACTGAGCAGGTTTAAACTATATCCGATTCCTTTGTCTCCCACCTTTTTTCCCTCACTTTTCTTCACAGTCTGAAGGAAAAAGGAAATATGATCCAAGCCAGAAACTGCCGATGTTTTGTTCCTTTAGTCACTTTGCAGAGCTTCTTTGTCCATAAGTACTTTCAGGGCAATTCTTACTCCTCACCTGCTTTTCAAACTTCCCCTCTAAATTTCTAGGCCAACTCGTTGCTGAGAACAAGACTTCCTACTTTTTTCAAATGGTTAAAGAGGGAGGAAGAATGGGGAGGGAAGGGAGGAAGGAGAGGAAGAAAGAAGGAAAAGGGAAATAGTAACGGCACAAATTAAAAACAGCAATGAGCGAACAGCAATTGGGTTCTGTTCTCAGCTACACTGTTTTTCAGTTGGGACTGGAATACACTTTTGTAGCCTCCATAGCTATAAGGAAATGAACAAAGTGTTTTCAGCTCATTGGTGACTTTTCTTAGTGCCATGTATGGCCAATTGTATAGGGATTAAGTTCTACTATCTTTACTTTTGTTCTTTTGTGACAAAACAGATCAAATAAAAAATGTTTTCCATGTAACCTAGTGGTTAATGTGAATCCACATATGTCCTTAATTTTTAATTAAATTGAACTTTTTGGACACTCCCCCGCCACTTACCCCATTATGTTGAGGTTATACAACATAAAGAAATACATCTTTTAAAAATGATAAAAGCATGACAAATTGAGTATTAACAATATTCTTATCTTGCTGGCACTTCAACCTCTTAACTATAATTTTGTATATAAACATTCTGAAGTACTTCCAATTCCTGTTGCTGAAGTAGATATACTACATGAAACCACAGTCCAGTCCCCAAACACATACCAACATCTACCAAACATAAAATTGCTCTGACTTCAGAAAGGAAGAAAGCGTACAAAATACCACAGCACCCTCTTTCTTCCATCTCCTAGCCATGTGAGGCCTCATCTTATGTTTCCAATACTAGGACTCCATGAAAGTACAATTGTAGCTTTTAAAGTTTTTCAACTTTAAAAACTGTAAGTCCATGGTAGATGAAGATGGATGAGTAGAGCTGAATAATAAAAGAGGTTTCTGTTCGCAAGAAAGACGGAAACCAATGGCCTAGCTTCAGAGTTCGGAGGATCCATATGGCATCCAGGAGCATGATTTGTTCTACTGAGGGTAGGCAGGGATAAGTGAGATTTTAGAAGACCTCTGATAGAAAACAACCCAAGGCTAAGCCATTTCCTTCCCACCTTATCCTCATGAACAATTCAGTGTGAAATAGACAAGGACCAGGAAAAGATCTTATTATACAGGATTATCTGCTGGCCAGAACTCAGTGCAATCAGACCAACAAAGCCCTGTTTCTAGAAGCCACTCTGAGCACCTGGAATGGCTTTACTAAACAGAACCTCTCTTTGTAGTAGGATTTTACCCGGTTGCATGTTTGAGACTAGCAATTTGGAAAGAAAAGACTTTCCTTAGAAAAGCATCTTAAATATAAATATCCCAATGTAAAAATCTGAGGAACAAGCCTAAACTATTGGAAGAGACAGTTATGCCTCAATGAAACTACTGTAATTTAGTTTGAAAAGCACATTGCTGAGGTACTGCTTTCACAGAAGGGTAGGATCGGGCTTTGTTTGATTTGGCACTTCCATTATTTTTACAAAGTAGGATATTGTTTTAAGGACACAGGCATAGTAGTTTATAAGGTTACTATGGTCATAAGAACATCTAAGATCATTATATTAAATTGCTTTCTGCTGCTGGACCAGTTTTTACTCTACCACTTGCTGTGTTCTCAAGAATTTTACAAACCAGACGGCAAAAGAGAGTTTTAAAATGTAGCTGATCATAATCTAATCTA